AGAAGGCAGAGTGCTAATGGAGCCACCTTCCTAGGAGCAGACCCGGACCAAGCGGCAAGAAGGCAGAGTGCCTTGTCTTGAACCACTAGCAGTGGTGCAAAAAAAGGCCATGCCCAGTAAGGCCAAACATCGGCCCAGTGGCTCTGCCCGACTCTGCAGAAAAAGGCACTGAAGGCAGAGTGCCGAAGGGCGCAACAGCAAAATAACAGTGGCTAGCCACCGTGGAAGAGACCCTCGTATCCTCGCCCATTGGAGGACTTACCACAGAAGGCTGCTGCGGCGTCATCTTCTGCTCGCCCTGCTGTCCCTAGCAAAGCGCGGCAAGGGTGTCGGCAAAGCCCATCGTCAGCATGGCTGGAGACTTTGACCAGGCCGTCGTCGGAAAGGGTCAGAAAGGTTCCGAGATCGATTTTTGGCAGCTCTTCCAAGCCGGAAAGGTGATCAAGCTGAGTGTGACGAGGATGGCGAGAGGGCGAGGATCCAGAGTCAGAGGACGCTGAACATGAGCTGCCCACCATCATGGAGGAGGAGGAGGACGGTGCCTTTTCCTCGTGGATCGAGGTGAAGCTTGACAGTCCGGACAGTCAGCGCAGCAACGCTACGGACATGGCGGCAGTCGTTGAGGCCGCTGCGGATGAAGGGTGGGACGGCCTGCAAGGCAGAGTGCCAAGGGGACACGCCGCCACTGACGAGACTCCAGAGGAAAGGGATATGGATCTTTTGCGGAACAAGCTGCCTGCTAGTTCCAGGATGGACACCACGATGACCATCAACGAAATAAGCTCTCACAAATCGCCCATTTGTCGAATCCGCTCCCAGAGCGCTCAATTTTTAACCCGGCCCACAACAAGAAGGACCAGAACAAATGCAGCCAGCAGACCGTGACAGCGCAAGTCACCTTTACAACTAAGGGCCCTCGAGATGGAGCTCTGAAGGTTCGGGATCCAGCGTGGAACCCGGAGAAGATGGTTTTTTTCCTTGAAGTTTGCCTAGCCAGATATATACTCTCGCTGCTTCGCATTCACTTTGTGGCACTGAAAGGATCACGCTTGAGTTTGCCACTGAAACAATCAACGTCACAAGACTCCTCCTCAAGTAAAATTCAAGACAACACCTAATTGGCTAGGTCGCCTGGCGCGGGCACAAGCCTCCTTCCAGTCTGGTAGATCCACATCACTGCAGCTGGAGTCGCAGCCGCACTGGCTGTACTCCGAATAATCATCGTCCGAGGAGCCACTGTAGCCCAACTCCGAACCTTCTGGCGCATCCAGGTCTGTAGTTTCTGAACTCGACATGGCGGAAAAGGCAATATGTACCCTATTTAGCATATGCGAGCCCATGCGTTGGCATACCTGCGCAATGTGCCAGGTCTGTGTTCTAGGCGCCTAAAGCCAGACATTGCAACTGTTGCAGCAGCTCTCGTGCCTGGAGCAAAGTTGCCTCTCGGCGCCCGCTTCCCATGCCAATAATTGGCCAACCTCAATCTCAAATCTCAAGCTCTCCATTACCACAAACGCCCTTAGTAAACCCCAATCAACAGAGTTTCGGTTATGATTGGCCAAAGTTTCGGTTAAGACGGCTGTCCCCTGAAGGCCAAAGCAAAGGCCAAGGCCATGGGAAGCAGGAAAAAGTTTCTTCGCCCACGTATGTAGCCCAGGAAACGGCCTGCGGATGCAAATGGTCGAGAGGGAGCAGAGCCGGCAGACGACCAGAATGTCGAGGACATGGAAGGCAGAGTGCCAGGGCCGGAACCTGACAACCAGAACGTCGACATGGGAGGCAGAGTGCCAGGGCCGGAGGAGCATCTCCCTGAGCAGCAGCCTGATAATCAAGCAGAGGCCAAGGAGCCAGCCTTTCCTGCTGTGGTGCCAGTTGCGCCTGCGATGCCTGTCCCAGCACCCGAAGAACGGGCAGTTGTAGCTAGTGGCCCGCAACAAGGTCGTCAGCCGAATCGTGACTGGCGAGGGGTATGGAGACCGGTTCAATGCTCAGAGTGTACCAAGGTCGCTGGTGAGATCAAGTACGACCCGAATCCTGGTGGCAAGGACTTCAAGAAAGCAATTTCTCCGAGTTCGTGTTACAGACGACGGTCCCTTGGAAAGTTTCAGTATTTTGTTCGGTTTAAGCTGAATGCCTAGGCAACCTGCATAAATGAATGTGTGTCTGGCATTGTCATTGGAGGCGAGTGGTCCAGAGGCCTGGGCCGAGGCGTGCCGCCTAGATGATGCATCGTCTGCTGGAATGAAAAATGTGTGTGTATGCATTCGTTGAGCAGGTTCTGTTAAAGTGGAACGTGCCCTGATTGTCCAGCACCATTGATTCCAGAGTGATTTCCTGCCGTACTTCCAAGTTCTCGGCACATAGTTCAGCAAAGAGACAGTGTACTAGAAGGTGCTTGTGAACATCAGAAGCAAGTCTGGTCTGATCTTTCAAAGGTCCGGTCCGACATAAAGCCATGGAAGCACAGCAACGCCTGGTTTTTCGAAAGCTACCATCGGCGGGAACAAACCATCTACTGGCCAAGAAGCTCCTGCAAATGTGGCAGAGATCGTTCGAAGACCAATTCGTGCGCCTTAACATCATTCAGAAACTGATTGATTGATTGGTTGCCACAAGCCTCGCAACGGTAGATTCGGTAGATGACCAAACTAATTAATAGCCGCTCTCCCCAAGGGAAGATTGCCTCACCGACTATTTGGAATTCCGCCTTTATTGGATTGAAGAGACTCTCGCCGACTGCAACTCCCTCGTCTATGCCAGCTAAATGCAAGAACTCAAAAATCCTCAAGAAAATCGTTGAGGTGGAGAGATCTGGAGCCAGGCTGGTGGCTAAGTCGGGCTTCAGACGGAAGGCACAGTGCCACAGGACGGCAGAGTGCCACAGGAAGGCAGGGTGCCAGACGGTGTCGTTTCGCCCAGCAATGCAAGGCTTCCTGTACTATACTATGCCTCTGCTGGTTTCGGCTGGCGTTCGACAGTTGAAGTCGTTTGTGCAACAAATTAACTTAATTGGCACACTGGAACTTGGCACACTGGACACTGTCGTCAACTTGGAAAAGCGCAACGTCCACCAGCACTGGCCGGGGAGTAAGTCACTCCCCGGCCACTGCTGGCGGACGGGATGGAAAGCGCAACGTCCACCAGCAATGGCCGATGGCAACGATGCCATCGGCCATTGCGGGTGGACGGGGTGTGGTCGGGAAACTGCGTTTCTTGCAATCTGTTGGTCGATCGATAATTTCATTTATGAAAAACCTTGCTTCAGTCACCCCCGGTGCCAAGTCTCCTTCATCCTCTGCATCATCGAGCTCGACGGGGTCGGGCTTGAGACGGAAGGCAGAGTGCCACACGAAGGCAGAGGCTTCTTCTTGTTTACGACTTTGAAAGTTGTTGTTTTTTTCGTTTTGTGTTGACAAACTTAAAGTTTTTGGATGGTTTTAAACAATTTAAAAATTTCTAAAACACGTTTAGACACATTCTAAACCGCGGAAAGATTTTCAGATTGGTTTTTTGCGTAAAAATCATTTTCCAAAAAAACTCTATTTGCGTGTATTTGTCTTTATTTGTCTGTATCTGTCTTTGTTTGCCTGGATTTGTCTCTATTTGTCCGGATTTGTTTTTTATTGTCAAGAGTTGTCTTTGTTTGCCTTGACTGTTGAACAAGCCTTGTTACTTTAAGCCCTGTGGTTCTAGGACCTAGCAAACCATCAATGATTAATAGACGCCCCACGAACGAGACAATATGGACTCTAATTGGAGTTTGTCCTTAACCCGATATAACAGTCCTCATCCCTGAATGTCGTTATCTTTTCTTCTTATCGTTGTTCCATGAAAGTTGTGCTATCGTGTTTGTTGCTGTACCATAGAAAACCATCCAGAAACGAACAGGGACATGCCAAGACTAAACCTCAAGGCGCGGCAAACACAGCTGCGCATATAGATGAACCAAGTTGAGCCACGATGCTACGAGTCAATATGACGGGATCTCGGCATGGATGCTAAACACCTGCCCACATATGTGAAAACCCGACAAGTCGCAGTTGTCAGCGCTGACGTAGCAGATCTGATCCTTGAAGGTGTCCGCACCACAACCTCGAATGCTGCGTGGGCACGGAGAAGCGCTCGGGTCTGGAGCTGGATATCGTGCCCCAAACCCTAACCCTCGAATCCCACTTAACTTAAACTCCTCCTCTGCATGCAAAACCTGCAGAGGCTCGGACACAAATCCGACGTGAAGGGATTTCAGGTTGGTACTCAGGATGGAGGGCATCTAGGGGGTGTAGCATAGCAGGGCTTCCGCCGCTAGAGTTGCGCGTTTCATGGAAGTTAAATTTTATGCCTTTTGCGTTCGGCGACTATGTGCGGCACCCTCTGAGCCAGGCGACCCCTCCAACATTGGCGGTTTTGCATTCAGCTTGAGGGCCTGAGAGTCTACTTCTGGGCATCCAGACTCGATGCAACACAATGCTTGGGCTGACACTGGGACTCCGAGTAAGCCCGTGCTCGCCAACTGTTATCCAAGGAATCCAAGGAGCCGCTGCTAGGCTTCGCCTGTGCATGACGGTGTTCAAACAAAGTCTTCAAGCTTCTTTGCTGGGGAGTTTTGGGATAAGGGTTTAAGTGTAGGACTCCCGAAACCTAAGCCTCAGTTCCGGGCACCGGGTTGGGACAGCACACAAAGCACCAAAACACGACCCTGAAACCTTGAGCTCTGGTGAATTTAAACATCCTACCTAGGCCCGGTGTAAGAAGAAGTCCTGAGCCCCGTGACAGCCGACGGGTCTCATCATGTTCAATGGAAACCATGCTACACACCGCATTACGATCCTACCACCATCAATCAAGGACCCAAAAACACAAACCATTTTTCCGCAAGCCTTCAACTCCCTAAACACGGTTTGCCGAGAGCTCCTAAGCAAGTCAAACCCTAAAGCCTGAATCCCAAGCTCTAAATGCCCTAAACTCCAGAAGCCCTGTGCGAGAGCCGGCTGGGCCCGGACCTCTGAGTGCGTCAAACCCGGGGGTGGCCTCAAGAGTCGGGCGTGCAGCCTGTCTCTCCCTCTCTCCGTCCTTGTCTCCTTTCTCTCCTTCTGTCGGCCTCTCGGCCTCTCGGTCTCTCTCTCTCTCTCTGTCTGCCTATCTGCCTATCTATTTATCTACCTACCGAACTACCTGCCTGCCTGCCTGCAGGCCTGTATGCCCGCGTGCCTGCGTGCCTGCCTGCCTGCCTGCCTGCTGCCTGCCTGTCTATCTCTTTGCCTGTCTGGTCGCACATTCATAAGTTACTGTAGGATTCTAGGGAATCAAGACGTACGTCGTGGTAAGATACATAGGCTGGCAACGCCTGCCAACACAAGTGAAGGCATCGCAGGACATGCTTGTCAACATTTGCGTTATCCAGCCCCGGTACCCCCCCCGCCCCACTCCCATTCCTGTCCCGCAAACTAAGCTGACCAAGTTGCAGGCTTCCTCGAAACGTTAAATCACGCACGTACAAAGCTTTCCTATCTATCTATCTATCTATCTATCTATCTATCTATCTATCTTCTTTCTACCGCTATCTTTCCCTGCATCTATGTACCTACTTACACAAATAAACAAACAAGTAATACATGTGTATATAGATATATATGTATAGAGAGAAAGAGAGAG